GCATTTCCGCATACATTGGATGTTTGTGTTGTATCGGTGGATTGTGGGGGGGTGGAGGGTGGGGGTGTATACGTGTGTTACACGTGAGAGCGTGTGGATGCATGGATGGGTAATTGTCGAAATTGAATGCAAATTCAGTAACAGTTGTATGACTTATATGATAGGTACCATTGAGTGTCAATAGTTAAGTAAGCGTACATATGAATAGTTTATGATTCATTCATTGTTCACTGTTAATTATAGTAGGATTATGAAATGAAATTAAGTGTTGTTCAGTTAGAAATAAGCGTTTATTGAATATGTCCACTTCTCTTTCAGGACGAGACTACACGTACGAAAATGACACGTACGTACGAATGACACGTACGAACGACACGTACGAAATACGAATGACACGTACGAAATGCTGTGTGACATACTTGTCTTCACATTTATTAAGCTATCTTTCTCCATCTCTATTATCGACAATGCTAATGTTTGACAATGCAAGCAAAATTAGTTTCACTGTTTGCTTCTTGCTTTCCGATGCAAAATGTTATATATCGTATGTGTTGAAGTTACTTATTGCAGGAAAGTTAATCGATTCATTAAGTTACAACATGCTTAATTATACTGGAATTTACAGTATCCTAATGAAGCAGTAAAAATTGATTTCATGTCATACAAAAAAATATTTAAATTTTTGAATGTTTCATAGAATTTCGTAAACTTTTTTTATTAATTATTATGCAACGAATGGAAATGTATTGATAATACGAAGAGTGGCAAAAATTCCAAATTATAGACCATTTCTGTAATTATTTGAAAAATAACTTAATCATAATTGAGAATGACATCCTGATATCATTTCAAAAAATGACATCCTTTAAAACTATCTATCACTTTTATCATTTTATCATTTACCCAAAGACTATTTCAAGATTGGATAAGTATGGTAAGGTAATGTTAACGTAGTAGTAGTAATATTACTAATACCAGTAATAATAGCAGCTTTCTATGTTATTGATAAACGGAAAAAAAAAATTCAATTTTCATAATCACTTTCCTTTTCTTTGCATTTTTATTCAAATTTTTCGAAAATTTAAAGAAACCACCTTAAACTTCATTTCAATTTTGGCATTTCAGAATGTTTGAAATAAATTTTACTACTTATACAGGCCTCTGTCTTTTTAAACATAAATAATTAAGCCAAGATGTGCTCTCCCCTATAATCAGCATCATTAGAAACCAAATCATAATCATACTATACCTTTCCTTAGTAACTAAATGATGCTTTATGTCAATATTTTCATTTTGCATTTTCTAAGCATTGATGATATCAGTTTACAGTTTGTTCATTTGTATTTTTTGTAAGGGAGTGGACAAATGTTGAATACGGGAGTGGACATGTTATCTTCTTGATGTGATATATTTGGGTGGTTTCCATTCTTATCGTATAATAAGAAATTGAACGGATAATTTTAAATTATGCAAATTTGAAATTCATCCAAGCGGCACAGGCTTTGATCCCTATTCATGCATTGTTGTATCTCCAAAATGTATTGGAATTTTTTATTCCATCATTAGCAATTAACATAATCGTCCCTTTTGTATGTATTTTAGTGATCAATACACATCAATGATGAATTTGATATGTCTTTTCGTGGAAGTAAAAGCATAAAAGAGCTGTGATACTATTAGCAGGCGATCACTGGTGGTGGTATGCTAGTTAGCTTTCTTTGCAGTTGTTTGCTCTTACATTTTTCTCCATTGAATGAATGGATGGGATTACTCTGAATGAGGTTATCATTCTTGTTGGATATTCAATCCACACCGATAATTGAATATGGCTATCTATCTCCTTCATATACTTTTTTCTTTTTTTTTTTACTATAAAGACGTAGCTATGTGATTTGAAAAGTTAGCTTAGAATGGAAGAAAATTTTAAAAGATGAAGAACTCTGAAATCTGAAAGACATCAACTGATTTATTCAACTTATATTAGTTGACCTGTTAATCTTATACAGGAAAAGATAGATTTGTGAAATGACTTAGCATAGTTATCACCAATTCTTTCTTCCATCTTCTAGTGTTTTAGTTGAAGTGTAGCATTGTTACTGCCTGAGAGTAGTCATTCGTTATAGTATGTTTGCTGTATTTGAAAGTTCCCTTATTTCTAGGAAAATTTTACACATATGAATAGTTATTATGGTACTATAATTTTAATTTAACATAAATTTTTATTTCTTTATAACTTTCAAAAGGTCACCTGATCATTTTTAGCTTAATAGCTAAGAGTGAATGAAGGACAAAACTCCGACAAGATCCATTTAATAAAGATTTTAAAATATTTGCTATATTATGTATATGATTTATTTATTCATTATGGATAATTAGATAAAGTGTATCCAAAGTTCTCTCATTCCTAAGAAATTTACATATATGGACAGTTATTACAGTAGTATGTTTTTAATTTTGGATGAATTTTTATTGCTTTATGATTTTCAACCAAAGTGCTAATAGCTTAATAGCATACGGTTGATGAGTAAGTTCTGATCATTTAGCTACTTTTTTACTATCATATGAAATGTTTCTGTAATCTGTAGGAAATATTTCAGGTCAATAGGATGGATCTTTTTTCATCTACTACCTTTATTTGTATGATTTGAGCAAGAATTCATTAAACTTTCAACTAGTATTACAATTAGGACATTCCCTTAACGAAAATATTTCAACAACCTCAATGATGATTTGTTTTTAGTACCTTGAAACTTCAGTAAAATATACAATGGAATTTAAAAATAGTTTTTGAATGATTTCCGGAATACCTCATTAATCTATATTATTCGTTTATCGATATATGTGGCGAGATTTGCAAGGGATGTTGAGGATATTTGATATTCAGAGTGGATTTAAATACGACAAGATGACAAATAAACTATTTCGTAAAAATAGTTCACTTGTCATTTTGTCGTATTTAAGCGTGCATAATGTTGTATGTAGATCTTTAGTCAACATAAATGATCAATCACACATTTAGGCTACATTTTTGACAACTAGTGATATCAAGTGACCGATGCATTGATAGCGAGTGATTACATGTCTGCCATTGAAGTGAAAGGAATTTCTTTCGGACGATGGACTTTACTATGTAGTATTATACATTGTTTAAGGAAGAGTTGTTGTATCGGTATGTGTATCTGTATGTGTATGTCAATGTATGTGGAGTGCAGGCTTTACGGAGACCTTGACCTCATCTACACGGATTTTGCCCCCTTTCACTAGTTGCCTCACAGCTTTTACTGTCATCAGTTGTCACATATAGTCATCCTTCTGGTTCGCCTGTAACCGTCCCCATTAACTCGTCGGTTCATCTACGGATCTCTCATGCATGCACAAAACAAAGAATGTAATTGGACAACAGTACCATCAGAGCATTCCTTAGGCCTGTAACTCCTCACTTTAGTTTATCAAATTTATTCTTCCGTTGACTAATCGAAAGCGTTCGTTCGCATTCTTTCAATATAATCGACCGTGCCCAAAAAAAAAAAAAAGAAAAAAAAACGAAAATTTGCATTAATGTGGTCAGCTTCCTCATATTATTCACCACCAAAACAGAACGCATGGTGCGCTTCGAGTGTTGCTGAGCAAAGCTATTCATTCGAATCAGAGAAGAAAATGCCTAAATATGAAATACAAGTATGCTACTCTTTTCAATTCTTCATTTCTTTTCCATACTAATTATGAATATTAGTTAGCAGAGATGGCAAGCTCAGTTGACTGCAGCATATAATAATATATCGCTTGGTTGTATTTTTTTAAAGGCTACCAATTGAACCAAGATAATCACTATTGATTACCAACATTTGTCAATATGCCTGGTGAATAGTGGTTCAATTTTTACTCTTCAGTTGGATACATTCATAAATGTAATGCAAATTTATTCCACCTAGATATTTTTATAGGTTCAAGTTCCACGGGTGAACAAATATGGGTTTGAAAAAAGCCAATCGCCATCTCTACCGGATGAGTACGACGAATTCAGTGACCCAACATTGTCATTTGAACGGAATCGTATCAAGCAGTTACAGGATGAACGAGTTCATATCCAAAAAAAAACATTTACCAAATGGTGTAATTCCTTCCTCAACAGAGTAAGTTTTTAGGTTTTTCTTAGCTTTCAATTTTTGAATGAATATCGTCTTCTTCATGTTGCATTTAGGGTTTTATGATTTATGGTAGGTTTTATGATTCATTCATGGCAGCTTTGTAATTCTTAGATCCATGACAGAATTATTATATATTTTTTAATGCAATAATTCTATCATGAATCGAAAGAAAATTTGTGTGAATGAATCATTCCTATTTGCAGTAATTCAAGAGTCAGAATATGGAATTGTAGTGACTTTGTAAGGATTCAAGATTTCGATAAATTCAGTACCTCATCAATTATAAAACAGCGTTTACTGTTGCATACGCATATATTTTATATATATATATATATATATATATATA